AGGATGGTCTCGATCTCCTGACCTCGTGATCCGCCCGTCTCGGCCTCCCAAAGTGCTGGGATTACAGGCTTGAGCCACCGCGCCCGGCCAGTTACGGTCATTAAGAACATTTTTGTTCTTAGGAACATTTTGTTTCTTAATAACTTATTGAAGTGAAATTCATAACAAAATTAACAATTTTAAAGCGCACAATTCAGTGGCATTTAGTATGTTACGATGTTGTGCAACCACCACCTCTACCCGGTTCCAAAACATTTCCATCATTTGAAAGCAAAACCCTTTACCCTTGAACAATTTCTCCCCATTCTTCCCTCCTCTCACCACGGGTAAACACCGATCTGCATTCTATTTCTATAGATTTATCTGGTCTGGATATTTCACATAAATGGAATCATATAATATGTGAACTTTGTGTCTGGCTTCATTTGGCATAATGTTTTAGAGGTTCTGAAAGTTTTTATCCACTGGAGACATTTAAGCAATTTACAGGTAATGGAAGCAGCAATATTTTTGCATTGTAATTTGGATAAAAAGTTACCTCTGATGTCTTCTGAATAGATTCCTTTTCCTGTTCAAAGCAAAGCAATAACAATATTTAAGGTTGTTAGGGAAATCCTTTGTATAATTCTGAATTTGTCACGTACAACTCCATAGGTTAAAATAATTTTATATCTACTTCTAAGCTACAAAATTTTAGTATCATTTATTTTCTGAAATGTTTTATTAAAGTCTCCATTTTTGGTTTTACATACTATTTTCAATCCTTCATATTCATACTTCTTAATATTTACTGTTAAACCTAATATCTAATAATTTTCCACTAAAAACCACAAGCTCTTCATGAGAGTTTTATTTGCAAAAAGGGAAAAGATGAAGATCCCTAAACAGTTTTTTCTCAGGATAACAGACAAAAAACACAGAACCCACCCCGTCAGATGTCTCTTTCTTCAGATTGCCCAGGCTGCTGGACTTCTGCAGACTTGAAGTTCTAAAAATAACAGCAATAACAATTAATAATAAGTGGCTCCAGTGCCACTGTTTCTAAGTAAAACATCTTGGAAAGAAACTAAAATTGCATGTGGGTTGAATCCTAGTAATAAAAGAAAATCTGGAATCAGGCAGTCACTTATGTGCTTAACTAAATGACAACATTTAGTTCTTTTAAAAGCAGGGGTGATTAACTGTCCTGCCAATAATTCTGACTGCCCTACACATGTTAGAAGAGCTGGAAAAGCACTTAGGACTAGCCTTGTGATGTCAATATTCAAAAATAAAGCAGTGTTTTCTGTGGACTAGTGGTGCGTCCTCTGCATGTACACAGTTAAACTAGGAACTTTAAAAATACTCATGTACTATTTATATCTAATCCTTCTAATTAAAATAAAGAATGGAAGTTTTACTTTTCAATTCACGAGGGAATCACTTTTCTGAGCCTGGCAAAGCAATTCATTTTATAGTTCTAATTAAAGCATAGTAGAGGAATCCCTAATGCTGCCCATAATAATTCATTTGCTAGCCTAGTGAAGGGAAAGAGACACTATAAACATCCAGAGACTCTTTCTTTCACATAATTAGTATTCAATTATATAGAGCTGGTGTTACTAAAAAATTGAAGGCAGAGATATGTGACCAGTTTAGAGAGAGTGACAGAGAAGTAATGTATTTGGCTCTATGAAACAGAGTAATATAAATACGCACATTTACAAACTTTTAAAAGGCATTTCTTCTGTATTTATATGTATACATTGCCAGAAGTATCAACTACCAAGTAAAGTAATAGTGAGAAAAGAAAAGATCTCATTTTTGAGTACTGCTCTGAAAATAGACTTTCCTAATTTAATCCAGACTTTAACTTGGATAAACATAGATATTAGGTCAGTTCATAAAACTGAAAGTGCAAAAAAACCCATCTCAGCTTTTCCAGCATCACATCATTCCCTGTGGCGCCTTCCCACTGGACTCAAAACATGTCAGTGCAAAAATGAATTAAAAGCATTGAACTTCAAATGAAAACTGATTAAGCAAGGCTAAAGACCTGCAAAACCCCGGCGTGAGATAATAGCAAATGAGAAATTATTTCTTTGTAAACTTACAGCTCCCCACCTTCACCCCAACCCAATTATTATAGCTGCATTAATTTATTCAGTAATTGAACAGCCTCAGTCATTTGCTGTTAGTATTAGTAATTGTTAGTATAACAGAACTCTCTTCCTCCTCTAGCCTCAATCACATTTTCACATTGAATAAAATGTAACTTACGAAAGATTATCACACAGTTGGGTATCAACAGTGGCACCAAGGATTATCTTTCCATCACTAAAATGTAAAGAACAAAAGGTATTTATTAACCTCACGAATAAAAGATCATATATGTTCTAAGTGAACAGATATGTAAACAACAAAAAATTGTGCAAAGGAAGCTATTTCTATTTTTTTTTAAATGATTCTATTTGGCCTAAAATAAGACGAGGCAATTTGGGAATATGTTGGCAAAACATTCTATTTGCTTACAGACAAACTACTGTATCCTTTTTCCTGTCCCCTTCAGACCCATCCTTCAAATGCACTCACAGCACATGACCGTGACTATTTAGTTTACAATCCTTTCACAGTTACCTATGACCTAGGACATAAAAATCCAAGTTCCTTAAACTGTTTTTCCTTTTTTTTCTTTTTGAGACACAGTCTCGCTCTGTCACCCAGGCTGGAGTACAGTGACGTGATCTCAGCTCACTTCAGCCTCCGCTTCCTGGGTTTATGTGATTCTTGTGCCTCAGCCTCCGAGTAGCTGGGATTACAGGCGTGCACCACCACACTCAGCTAATTTTTGTATTTTCAGTAGAGATGGGATTTCGCCATGCTGGCCAGGCTGGTCTCAAACTCCTGGCCTCAAGTGATCTGCCTGCCTTGGCCTCCCAAAGTGTTGAGATTATAGGCGTGAGCCACCACACCCAGCCAAGTTCCTCAAAATCTCTTTCAAACCTGACCACCCTACCTCCGCAGCCTCATCTCTTATCGCTTCCTGCTTCACACTTTTTATTTCCATAATACAGAACTGATTACAGATCCCCCAATGGACGTCTTGCTGTTTCTTGCTTTTCTAGGTAAAAATTATGTCTGTAAATAAACGCAATACATCTGTGTCTTTGGTTGATCTACTATTTTGAACATTTATATTGCACTGTTAATAAATGACATACTTTTCTTCAAATGAAGTCTCTGGCTTAGGAGTCAACTTTGATTTTTCAGAAGTTTCCATGCTTATAGTTGCTGGCAATAATGAAGGGATGGAAACTTGCAAGATGGTGGTATGGAACTGTAATGTAATCATAAAAAGTCAAAAGTCAATCAATCAATCAATCAATCAAAACAAAACACAAGCCACAGAGTAATTAAACAAAAGTAAGACAATTAAATGGTCCATTGACAAAAATCTCATAATCATTGTTCAGAACTCTATAAAATGATTTCGGAATATAAACATCTACACAGAAGAAGTACTAATCAAGGAAATCATTCTGGAGGAAGGAAATTTTTTAACTTGGTTCTGAATAAGACACTGAATATTGTGAAAAAGATGGTATACCATTAAGCAAGTTAACAGCAATGTTTTTTTCTTTTTTTGAGATGGTGTCTTGCTATGTTGCCCAGAATGGTCTCGAACTCCTGGGCTCAAGCAGTCTCCTGCCATAGCCTCCTGAGTAGCTGAGATTATAGATGTGTGCCACCGTACCCAGCTAGTAATAGTAAATCCTAACAACCTTAAGCCCTGGCTGAAATGTTGGCTCTGACACACTTGCCTAAGTGATCTGTGATCTTAGCAAATCACTTTGCGAGGCATCCATTAGTTTCGCCCTCTGTAAAATAAGAATGACAATGCCTACCCTGCAGGTTGTGACGATTTAACGTAAGATTTGGGTAACATGTTTTGCTTTCAACACTCTATTATTACTATTATTTTTTGGTCTCAAAATGGTCTCACTTTGTCATCCAGGCTAAAGTACGGTGCTGCGATCACGGCTCACTGCAGCCTCGAACCTCTGGGCTCAAGTGATCCTCCCACCTTAGCCCCATCAAGTAGTTGGGACCACAGGCATGCGCCACCACAGCTTGCTGATGTTTAAAATTTTTTTGTAGAAACAGGGTTTCCCTATGTTGCCCAGGTTAATCTGGAACTCTGTGCTCATGCAGTCCCCCTGCCTCAGCCTCCCAAAGTGCTGGGATTACAGGCATGAGCCACTGTGTCCAGTGAAAAGCTCCATTTTTACTTTGATTTCTACTACTAATCTTACACGGAACATTGGTCAAGCCAGTTAATTATTATTCTATGTGCAAACTAGTTGACTAATTCCAATTAACATAATTGATGAAAAGTGTAATTAAAACCAATTACAATGGACTTTGTGGCTACCACTTAAAACACTTTGCTTAATGATAATAATAATATTACAGCAACAAATAAAATGCATAACACATTTTCTCAAACAAATGCTTTGTGTATCCTAAGGAAAGAGCCTGTGAAATAATTTTAATACTTCGGTTTTCAACAATTACAACCGTAGAGCAGTTAGATTGTGGGCCACGTCATAAATGAATGAACGAAAAATATTTCAGTTAAAAAAAAAAAAATGAACAAAGTTTGTCACAATGAACTCCTACCAGTCAACCAGTGACAGTTCTTCACTTCTGAAAGCTGCCTGGTAAGGACTCACACCAGTGAACACACTTCTACACGCCAACCAGTCAGCAACAGTCTCACCTTAGTAACCACACATCTACAGTGGATGTCGACTCACATTTGCCTCAGAAAGTCCACCAATCCTTGAGCTCCAACCATCCCAAAACCCACATATAATCAGCTAGAAGAGAATGTACTTGACTGGGAACACTCACTCACTTAAGTAAGCAATAAATTCAGCTTTGCGATTTTTGTTTCTGTTATTCAGTGGTGGGCTCATCCTTTAACGCAATAAAAGGTTATAAAATGTGAAATCATATTATTTATGAAGTAGAAGATTATTTCACTATCAACTTTTTCAATTTGAATCTTTATGGTGAATTCTGGGCAACTTATTTAGCCATCATCGCTGTTTCCTGAAGTTCATTTGTCTCTTGAGATTCCTAATCATGAGGAAAATATAACTAAACTAACAGACCCATTTTCTTGATCTTTTTCAAACTTTTAGACTTTAATTCCAAACTCAGATCCCCCTCCTGGCTTTCCTTTAAAAATGTGGCTGAACTCCCTCCATCCTCATCAAACTATTCTTGTTATAAACTTAAAACCGGTAATTAAACTACAATTCACATAGCAAAGACTTTTTCTAAAAGGACGTGAGATTATTTGGGTGTACCCTACATGTAACACTAGTTCTATAATTGCAGCATACTCATGGGCTGTCAAATATTATTTTTGCTTTCAATATAAATATATATCTAACAATTAGGGGATATTTTCCACCAAAGTATTTCTTATTCCTTAACTAATTCCTTGATTAATGGAATATTTCAGCCCTCTCCTACATTTAAGAGAGAAATTTTCATTGTCTTCTCCTTGAATTCATTTTCATTCAGTTCAAATTTCCATCTTCTCATGGTGTAATTATCAGCAACAGATAAAAAGTAAAAATGCCACTTGGTTTCTTCTCACTACCTATGGTAAAATGTGAGAAGAGAAATGACCAAAACAGGAACTGCTAAAATAAGGAAGCCAAGATTGTTTAGACAATGAAACTATTTCCCATTCCCGGTCTCTCTAGACGAAAAAAATTACACTAAAATTAAGAAACAGTTTCAGGGCAAAGATCAAGCACAAGGGCTATCAGGAGAACATGGTCTTCAGGTGAGCCAAGGATGTGGCTGTAAAACCCTTTGCTAAGACCTCAGGATGGACTAGACTAGAATCAAATAAAAATAGAAAAAAAAAACCTTAGGAAGATTAGAGTAGTACTGTCTCATTGAACCTTTGAAAAATGATCAAAGGCTCTAAAAGCAATGGGATGTCCCACTGCAGCCTTACAGGGAACCTTAGCTACAGAGATAGGCTTATGGTGAAGATAGCTGTGGATGTGTTCTTCTCTAATTCAGTGAATTATAACATGATTCATATGAAATTCTAAATGTTTAAAGTATTACACCAAATTAGACTCAAAAGGACAGAGATAATGGAAAATGACGAGATGAATTTGGAGATCTTTGGGCATTTTTGCAGGCACAAAACTGAGAAAACTACTCATCTGCAAATACAGGCAAAGGAAGGATGACTTCGAGGGAAGAGCCAATAGCCCAGAGGATTGGCAACACGTGCCTGGCTGGATTTTGGAATTGCTATGGACTGGTGACACCTGTGAGCCTTCCCGCTCCCCTTTTTTAATGGGAGTGGCTACTGCAGTTACATTATGCCTGTCCAACTATTGTATGGGTGTGTGGAGGGCAGATAACTGTCCTTGAAGTCCACAGCTCTTTAAGTCAATGGAACAGTCCCCAAGGAGCTGTGCGCAAGGAACTGTACCTGAGGAGCTTCACCCACATTTCAACCTGGTCTGGATGACAAGATCCTGGGATGTTGACGCCTCACTGGAATGAGACTCAGGGGTCTTCGGAAAGGGGGCGAGTGTCTTTTGCATGGGAGAGGGATGTAAAGTGGTGTAGCCAGAGGGTAGATTATATTTTCCAAATATGGTTGCACCAATATATCCCATCCCATGTGTCCTAACAATGTAATGTTGTCACTTGTTCATCCAGAGGCAGGGTAGGGTCTGTGTTTCCTCTCCTTGAATCAGGGTGGGCTGCAGGCCTGTGGCTACAGCAGAAGAGATGCCATGTGATTTCTGAGATAAATCATAACAGGAGATGCAGAGTTGCCCGGGCCTCCTGGAATGCTCACCCTTAGGATTGTGAGGAAGCCCAAGCAGTCACAGGTAGTTGTTCTAAATGGGGCCTCAGCTGAGGTCCCAGCCAAAAGCCAGCCTCAACCACCAGACATATGAGTGAGTTAGCCTTCAGACGACTCAGGCCCAGGCCTTCACGCCACTCCAGCTGATGCCAAGTGGAGCAGAGACGAGATGCTCATGCTGAACCCTGCTGAAGTGCAGAGTCATCAGCAAAAGAAATGCTGTCATTGAAGCCACAAACTTTCGGTGTGGTGTACAATAGATAGCAAACAGATTTTCATGCCAGTTTGATGCAAACTAAGGAGTGTATAACTGCTTACTCCTCTCCAGTTGCTTCTTCCAAGTCTAAAGAAGTCAGAAGAAAATTTTATTCAATTATCTTTCAGAGTCACCATCAGAAGTGGCCAAAGTCAATTTATTTATATAACCTCACTTGAGTTGGTAATGGAACTGAGAAAGGAACCCATGTTTTTCACGTTATGAGCAGTGTTATAACTGTCAATAACGCAGTCTCTTCAACATGAAGGAAATATCAAAAGTCTATCAATACCTCTTCAGGAACACTTGTGTTAAATGGGTCACGACTGGGAGATCCCATTACTGGAGTGGGTGATGGACTTTTCTCCAGATCACTGAAACCCTGTGCATCCAGCAAAGTGGAGATGGAACTGGAATTGAGCAGATCTTCATATTCTCCATCTTTGCCTGGGAAAAGACAAAGCAAAGAGAAGACAACAGTAGTTTTTGATTTGTATTTCACTTTTACAGGAAGATAAGAAACCCAATTATATTGAACATAAAATTTTTTCTGATCCTCAAAAATCAGAGTCAGCTTCTCCTGGCATTCCTTGAAAAACAACATAGGACCTAGGAAACAGCATTTGAAACTGTGAACAACTAGGACCAGGGGCTCTTGGGCCACAGTGGGTACCTATGATATTAATAGACAAAGTCGTACTTGATACATTGACTCATCAGAGGGAAAGAAAATTAAAAGTTAACTTTTTCCAACAACTCTCTTGTAATTTTGTTTTAAAATCCGGGGCTTACAAATTTTAGTGTAGAAATAATCAAACTGAATAATACCTGGTACAAAAAACAAATTCCGAATAGCAACAAAGTCCCATTTAAACAACTTAGTTTTCATCACTGCTGTGCTCTTGAAAAAACATAGAAAGAATAGAAAAAACAAAAAGACAGACGACCTTTGATCTCTCAAGAGGATCCTTTTATGCCATTTTAAAGCAAAAAAAGTCTGATGGAAAAAAGCAACCACATATTCACCAAAGCTGCAACCTTGAGAATTTTTTTTTGCATCTCTAGAAATCAAAAGGATTAAATGGTGAAAGCGCAGTGCCAGATATTCTTTTTTAAAAACAGGAAAAAAAATGATACTTAAGACTCTAATCTACAAATAATATGAAATGGTAAATCATATACTTGTTTAAAGATCTTAATCAGACCACAGCGTCTTAATTTAGGTTTCACTAGAATGTTATTCTAATTTTATTAGAATTTAGTGTTATTAGAATTGTGTGAGGATTAACTAAATATAACTCCTAGTGAGAAATCAGTTTATACAACCCTTTATTGGAACAGAACATAGTTTTCAAGGGTTTATGAAATCTGTGCTGCTGTACCTCGTTAAAAACTACCTCTTTTATTTACATATTTGTATGCACAGGAAAAAAAAGCTAAAAAGAAACAATAAAAAAAATGCCAATAGTGATCATGCCAGTGCAATTATGAGTGATTTTTATCTCTTTTCTTTATTTTCCAAATGTTTTCCAATATAGTCTAATTAAAGGAATTAATTTTTTCTGCCTTGGTTTTAAACATAAGAATTGGACAGTTGAAACTCTATAAAATTAAACAATATTTTAAATGAGATGCATATGTAAAAACCACTTACAAATTTGCAATATTCCATAGGATAGAGACTCTTTTTCTGAAGGCATGGAAAATGCTGAGTGATGAGAACTGCTAGTCAACACTGATTATCAGAGGTTCATTTGCTCACTCAGATATTTATAAAATCTAATATGCCAGACCCTGTATATAATTTTTTTTTTTCCAAAAATCCTGATCCAAAGCAGGATTTTCCTTCTCTGTGAACTCACCAAAATTAAAATTTCAAAATCTGAGTGTTTCATGGGGACCTTCCAAAAGAATTGTTTATTTCCAGTGCTTACGTTGAGAGCAAATAACTCTATCTATGCATTGCTAAAAAACAAGAGCCCTTTCAGATTTCCTCCACATTTGAGGATGGCCAATTGGCCCATCTGCAGATAAAATAATAACGAATACAACAAAATGCACAACTATCTTTATGTACCTGTTTTACAGGGTTTTTCTGAACTTACCATGTTCAAAGCTGAACTCAATCCTCCTACCCCAGCCCAGTGTTCCTTCTCTAGGCTTCCCCATATCAGTAAATGGAACCATCAGCTACCCAGCTGCTTTAGTTGGAAAGGTCTTTCTTGATCTCTCCTCTCTTATTCACTCTTCTCCTCTATCTTATTACACCACTGGGTCATAACATATTCCCAATCAGCAACTACCAGATTTTTTCACTTGGAATACTACAAATCTCAGAATTGGTTTCTGCTGCTCCCAATACTGCTCACTTCCCTCCATGGCCCACGTGTTATAAAGATCATGCTGCTGACTTTTTTTTTTTTTTTTTTTTTTGAGACGGAGTCTCACTCTGTCACCCAGGCTAGAGTGCAATGGTGCAATCTCGGCTCACCGCAACCTCCACCTCCCGGGTTCAGGCGATTCTCCTGCCTCAGCGTCCTTAGTAGCTGGGATTACAGGCACCTGCCCCCACGCCCAGCTAATTTTTTTGTATTTAGTAGAGACGGGGTATCACCATGTTGGTCAGGCTTGTCTCGAACTCCTGGCCTCAGGTGATTCACCCGCCTTGGCCTCCCAAAGTGCTGGGATTACAGGCGTAAGCCACCATGCCTGGCCACTGCTGACTTTTAAAACCCTTCAGTGAGTCCCTCTGCACTTGAGCATGAGCTTAACTCCACCCATTGCATGACCAGTGGTTGCTCATCATCATGGTCTCATTTCATCCCCTCTCCCCACTGCCCACCACCTTGCAGCTGCACTGGTGTTCTCCCTCTTAAGCATGCCACATTCTTTTCCCCCTAGGCTCTCTGCATATGCTGTCGTTTTCTCTCTCTGGAATGCTATCTCATCAACTCCTTAGAGAGGCACTCCCTGACCAACGACTCTACAGTACACTGACTCCTCAGGCTGGACGCTTTCCGGCAGAGTACAGTTCTAATTGTTCAATTAATGAATGAGCTACCTAATTTGGGATGATGGGTATGATCCAGGAAAGAAACTGAGGCCAAATGTGTAAGTTTATAGCCACCTGGAGTTAACCAAAGTAGAAAAACTTTTCGAGCTACACTCTACCTTTTTTACCTTGGGCCAGTACCACAGTATCTTGCATTTTCTTGTACCTGTTCAGGCACTGTCGAAGATCTTCTATTTTTCGATCCTAGGAATAAAATAAATTACAATCTTTAATCCTATGTTCTTAAAAGAGTAACAGTAATCGCTTTTACATAAAGAATATGCATGATTCTGCCGAGAGAGCATTTTAATAAAAGAATAAGCAGATGTGAATTATTTACATTATTTAAAGAATATTTCTAAGCTTTAGGAGAACTGGTAATAACTAGACTATGTTTCCTACATACATTAAAGATATGGAAAAAGTACCTCTAAATTTAGAGATTCTATCCTTTAGCTGCCATCTTTAAACAAACAAAAACAAAACAAGGTAATAAGACGCAAAACAAAAAAATAAAAAAGTCAGCTTCAATTACTCTCCTCTCTAACTTATAAATCAAACCTCGAAAGAAAGGCCCCCATCTTCTGTCTTTCTTAGCCATCATTAATCACCATCTGGCTTCTCCACTCTCAAAACACTCTACCAAGGTGACCTCCTATCTATTAAAAACAATGAACACTTTTCATTCTTTTTTTTTTTTTGAGACAGGGTCTCGCTCTGTTACCCAGGCTGCAGTGTAGTGGTGCAATCTTGGCTCACTGCAGCCTCAATCTCATGGGCTCAAGTCATCCTCCCACCTCAACCTCCTGAGTTGCTGGGAGTACACGCATGCAGCACTATGACCAGCTCATTTTTGTATTTTTGTAGAGATGGGGTTTCACCATGTCACCCAGACTGCTCTTGAAATCCTGGGCTCAAGTAATCTGTCCACCTTGGCCTCCTGAAGCACTGGGATTACAGGCATGAGCCACCATGACCAGCCCCAACCTTTTTCTAATTTGACCTCTATATGGCATTTGACTGACCTCACTCTTTCCTTCTCCTCTCACTTATCCATCCACTCTTTCTTTTCTTCTATTTTTGTTTATCAATCCTTTGACCAGATAGCTGCCAAACTTCCATGACTCCCATTATCTTCTCGGACTAATAAAATGCTAGAGCTTCCAGGTTCTGTCCGTGACCCTCTTTGCTTTTCCCATGTGCTCAACTGTGCTATGAAAATGGCCTCCCTAGCTCCTCCCATTCTCATTCCAGGCCTGGCCATGTGGCTGGCTTTGGCCAAAGAGATATCAGCAAATGTAATTCAAGCAAAGGCTTGAAAAGCATTTGCCCTTTGTGGCTGCCCTGTGGTGTGGCTCTAAGGAACCCTGAGGAGCTATGTGAAGAAACCTAGCCTAGTCTACTGGAGGATGGGAGACCATCTGGGGAAGAGGCTAGTCCTCCCAGCTGTGGCCAACCTAAACCAAGCTGTCAATCACCGGACACGTGAATGACACTATCCTAAATTACGCATGCAGTCTCATCTAAGCCACCAGCTGACTGCAGACGTCAGCTAAGCCAGCCGAGATCAGAAGAATCATCTAGCCAACTCACAGAAGTACGAGAAATACTAAATGTGGTCTGTCACAAAGGAAAAGCTACCTGACACATCAACTGTGGCTTAGTCTACACCAAACTACAACTCTACATTTCTCCTAAAATTGAAGGGCCTCACTCCCCATCAATCTATGTTTCTACATTAATCCTAACATTTAGATTCATGTTCCAACTTTCTGTAAGAAATCTCCTTAAGAATGTCCCATAAACATATTGGATAGACTAGATCTACAATTAAGCTCATTCTTTCCCTTCAGTACTTGAGCCTGTGCTTGGATTTCCTTAACTCCTTAAGAGCACCATCCACTCACCCAGTTGCCCAAACCAGAAACTTACTCTCGTTTTTCAAATCCAGAGACCTTAAATCTTGTCAACCCGTAAATTTCTCTAAAACCTCTTCCCACCTTACCACTTCACTGCTATTGCGTTACTTCAAGCCCTCTTCATTTCTCACCTATTTTAACAAACTTTTAACTATTGACCTGTCGTCACTCTCCCATTCTGCTACCAGAGTTAGCTTTCTGAAATGGCAATTTAATCATGTCACTGCCTAAGGTTTACACGCTAAGACCTTAAATCAAGAGCATGGTGCGTGAAGCGGCCTGCCCCCTAACTGAGCTCTGTGGTCGGCCCCACGCCCCCTCCTTCACCTGCACTGCTCAATCCCAGCATGCACTGTGCTGTTTCATACCTGGTCTCAAGGCAAGTTTTGACTCACGGGCCCTTTGCTTAAGAAGCCTTTATTTTCCCAGTGAACAATTCTTGCTTTTCCCCAGAATTTGCTCAAATATGTCCTCTTTGAAGTCTTCTGAACCCCCGACCCCATGAGGAAGTTATGTTACTCTGGGTGCTCCTATAAAGGTTTCAGCATCTCATAAGTCCTCATTCAACACTGGGAGTTTTGTTTGCTGTTGCTCGTTGAGGGACAGAAATGAAAACAAAATTAATTTCAGTGATTTTTTTAAAAATAAAAGTTACGGTGGGCAGCTTGCTAATTCCTTGTCTTTTTATTCAATAGTGGGAAACATTAGCAAAAAAGGAACCTGTATGAGTAGGTATGATGATCAGTTTATTTCCAGGCAATAAAGAGCAAATAAAGAGAACGCAAGGCAAAAATAAACAAGGAGATAAGAAAAACAGAGTAGTCAAGAGTGAGAGAAAGAAACTTACAATGGGAGAAAAGGATCAAGCCAAAGTTCTTTGACATTCTGTTGTTTTTTACTTCCTTGAAATTACTCTTTTTGGGGGGAAATATTCCCTGGTTCTATTCATTCAGGCAGATAAGGGGAGAGAAGTTCTGACGACATCAGCTGAACACAATTGCGGCTGCCAGCTAGATACATGGATGGTCAGGCAGGCTATGAAGAAACCCATTGTTTTCGTGGGGTAACTGCATCCCTGCCCTTAGCAGGATGAAGAACATCAGATGTGGATAACAAGAACCAATTGGCGGGGAAAAACCTGTGGAAACCTTGGAATGAAGCCAAAGTAGCTGAAGTAAAGACTGTGCCGCTGTTTTCTGGTATTTAATCTCTCAGGAGAGCAGAGACAATCACAGATGTGAAACAGGCCAGGAGTGTAAAGGAAATAATGAGTAAATGGAGGACAAAATCAACATGACCATGAAGCTGAGTGAGGCTGTCAAGTTAGCTCCTTCAGGGCCCACAGGTCAGCCCAGAATTTTCAGTGCCCACAGACAGGATCTACTATGGAATGTATCCTCTCTCTGTCACCTGAATATGCGGAACTGATCAGAGAGTTTGAACATTTTCTGAATTCATGGGGGCAGAGTTCTCAGTGGAGCCAGTGCAGCTCCTCCCTATTCCTGTGCATACAGCCCACCTAGGAGTGTGCACACCTGCCCCTCACTCCTAGCAGTGTTCTGGGCGTGTTCTTTTAAAATGGAATAGCTCATGAAATTGCATGGAATGGTCAAAATGGTGTTAAAAAACATCCACATATATATTTAAATTTCATCTGGATACCTTTTCTTCATTTGCTGCCATCAAAGACTCCACAGCTTTCTTCATTTTTTGTACTTCGATGTCTGAAAATAACACCAAATCAGAAGTCAGTTTAGTTCACACGTGTGACAGTGATCAGAAGTTATTTACTCTCCAGACTGAAATATTTTAAGGTAAATATGTTAACGATTTCTTTCATTTATTCTTTTAAAAGGGCACATTTAACACCCATATTCTCTTTTAGGGAAAATCTGAAAAGATGGACGTCTTCTATCTCACCTGAACAGTTGCCATTCTAGAAAGAAAACAAGTGTGTGTGAGAACTAGCTATCCTCTCTTAAAGCAACAAGAGAATCTTCATGAGAACACTGAAGATGAAATTTCAGTGCTATAGTAATAAAAACATGTTTTTAAAAGAGGAATCTACAAAGCAGTGCGTGAAAGCCATGAATGGTATATATAATGACAAAAGCAGAGAAAATGATAGTTATAACCAAGATAGAGGCATGAATGGTAGGAGCCTGATGGCATGTAGTATTTACATGAGTAGTCATGCTAAGAAGCTGGTTGTAGTTCCATACATAAGGATAATAAGTACTTTGCTTCATCTATAAACTTCATTTCCAATACTACTTTAAGATAGATTTCAAGACATAAAGGCCAAAGTAAGCTGAATGTGATTCTCCTTAAAATTTGATATTCAAATACAAAAGCATGTTACTTGAATAATAAAAAACTTAAATATTTTAAAGATGAAAAGTCACTCCAGGGCCTGGTGCAGTGGCTCATGCCTGTAATCCCAGCACTTTGGGAGGCCAAGGTGGGAGGATTGCTTGAGCTCAGGAGTTTGAGATCAGCCTGGGCAACAGAGCAAGACCCTGTCTCAAATAAATAAATAAATGAAAAGTCACTCCAAAGCGAAATCACAAACTACAAAATCGAAACAGGAAAAAAAAAAATCAGCTAAAGTTGCCTGCTTCTGAGAGAAAAAAAAATTACTGAAGACAATATTTTTTTTAGAGACAGCGTCTTCCTGTCATTCAGATGGAGTGCATGGCACAATCACAGCTCACTGTAGCCTTGAACTCCTGGGCTCCAGTGACCTCCCACCTCAACCTCTTGAGGAGTTGGGATTACAGGAGTGAGCCACCACATCCAGTCTTCTTAAGATAATTTTTAAAACAGTGGTGCATCATTCTGCATTGGTGTAACGTTTTAAATTAAGATATATTCTATAGGAATTGAGAATCTAACATCTGGGGGAAAGAGCCCCTAAGGAGTTAATTTTTTTTTTTTTTTAAGAGATGGGGTCTCACTATTGCCCGGAATGTGGTACAATGGCAAGATCATAGCTTACTGCAGCCTCAAACTCCTAGATGCCTGGGGCTCAAGTGATCCTTCCACCTCAGCCTCCTGAGTAGCTGGGGCTACAGGCATGCACCACCATGCTCAGCTAATTTTAAATTTTTTGTAGAGACAGGATCTCACTATGTTGCCTAGGCTGGTCTTGAACCCATGGCCTCAAAAGTGATCCTCCCACCATGTCTGGCAGGATTTATCTTAATGTTGCATTAAATACTCAGGCTCCATTAATCAGCTGAATTCAATCTCTGTTGTAACAATGTAACATGTTCAAAGGAGCTTCTAATAGATCTCAGACAAATAGTGGACTTTAAAACACTGAAAAGCAAAAGCAAATTTCAAAATTATCTTTCAACTCTGGTAAACCTTTAAAATCATGAGTTTTCGTACTGTAAGAGTTATTTTCTCCTCTGCCCCTGTATCACCTAGACTGCAAGGAACATGTTTTCTTACATCCACAATGCTGTGTGCCCTGTTGTACCCTGTAGAGCAGAAAAGTTGAATCAGACAAAATCTTCAAAATGATCTTTTACCTTATTGTTTTATTATCCACCCTCTATTGTGTACACTCTGAAGAAATGGAGGGCTTATCGATGAAGCAACTTTACATCTTTGGTGAGAGAAATGTTTTAAAACACATGCAAAGAACAGTCCAAGGTAGTATTTTTGGTGAATGTAAAGGCTGATGGAAATGCACCAAACCTTACTTTTTTCTTTGAGCTTCTTTTTAAAATTTTCATCTGTGCAGGAAAACCCATCGAATTGCAAGTTAGCAAACATTACGACAATAAATAATATTTTAAAATCACTATTATTTAGTCTCCTCTGAAGTAAAATAAAGGAAATCTAACCTCATAAAAACTTTTTCAGCACTATTTTGTGACTGCAGGATTGGCAGTATAATAATGCTCTGTGTGAGGTTAGAAAGAGAATATGAGACCTAAATTTGAGTCACTACCTCTGTTACTTCATTTTTCTGGACCGTGATTTTCTCACATTAAAATTAGGTTTATGGAGTACAAGCACTTCTTATACCATAAATGATGAAAACCTAGTTAATGTCACTTTGTTTTTATATTTCCATCACAGTTTGATACCTGGTCCTCCTGAATGTGACTAGAACGCTGCTTGTGTCATGTGCAACTCACCACTCAAGTTCAACAACACTGAAAGGGTCTATCTCCTGTCCAATAAGATGAGGCCACTGAGGATGCAGTTAGAAGCTATCCCAATATCACCCTGACGTGAGCTTTCTAAAGACTTGCACTCAATCCCCGTATTTAGCTGGTGGGCACTGGTAACACACAATTCCCAGGTTGATTCGAGTCCTCAGATCAGACTTTGGGTAGCATTACTCTAATATCTTCTAGCCCACAAGTCCTGTGATGCCATTTTATTCTTTATCTTTCTTTTTTTTTCAGAGACAGGATCTTGCTCCGTTGTCCAGGCTGAAGTGCAGTGACACAGTCATAGCTCACTACAGCCTCAAACTCCTGGGCCTTCAGTGATCCTCTCTCCTCAGCCTCCCAAGTAGCTGGGATTACAGGATTGAGCCACCATGCCTGGCAAAATTTGAAATTTAGAAATTTCAAATCTTAAAAAATTTTTTGTAGAGACAGAGTCTCATTGTGTTACCCAGGCTGGTCTTGAACTCCTGGCCTCAAGCAATCTCTCCTTCCTTGGCCTCCCAAAGTACTGGGATTACAGGTGTGAGCCATTGTGCCCAGCCCACTTTATTCTTAAAACCCTAAAAGTATGATCAGTATGACCTGTTTCTGAATGTCCCTTATCAATACACAATTCTATATATGCCAAACAGTAGGTGATGGGCTGGGGCGGAGAAGCGGTTGGCAGTGAATCCATTTTCCTCAGGTTTGATGAATTTTCTGACGGACAGGGAATTGGGATACCTACAGGTATATAAGGCCATGGTATTCTAGAGCAAAGAAGAACTTTACAGATAATCTAATTCAAGTCCCTCATTGGACAGACAATGTTACTAATTTTCATATAACGGATAAAAATGTAACAAAGCTACATTAACTGGAATTTGTACCGTTTCGAATGAGTCAGAAATTGCTTTGGTATCTCACAGTGCCACAGTCATCATTCGTAATTACAAAGAAAGCTTAAATTTAACCTAGTGCTGCCAGATGTTATGCACATTATATTTCCAAATATAATTTTAAAAATATATTTCATTTGGGCTATTTTCTATCACGTACAACCTACTTTGTTAGAAATGATGGTCCATATAATACTCAGAATGAACCTCTTCAGTTACGGAAAAAAAGATTTGGACAAATTCATGCATTTTTCCAAAAACAGAATTAGCCTATTTCTCTAAAAGGTAGAGGGGCTCAATCCCTGGTATAAATTTGTGACTAATTTTTCCAAAAATACAGAACCATTTTTCTCTTCTGTCTAAAGGGCAGAACAGTTTCTAAGCCCCCTACTTTATCTAATTTCAGTTCTGAGGGCAACAATCCTGGGACACAGGGGTGGTTCTTTTTAACTCTTTTGGCATACATTCCCTTGCATTGCAATTGAGACAAGTCCATTCTTGTGATGAGAATTTACAGTCTAGTAATCCTAAACACCAAATGAAGTACAGAATTCCCCTTTTCCAGGTGCTGAAGAGGAAGTTAATGGATTCCCAGTCACAGTAAAGAGACTTGGAGAATTCCCTGTGGTTCTGGGCCTGGCTGGATTCTGCTACTCTTTCTTTGATGCTAAAACTGCACATTGACTATCATTGGTTTCTTTTACAGATTTTGGAGGACTTTAAAAAAATGAGATGACAAATGTGAAATATATCTTCTTACCTCTATCAACAATTTCAACCCCTTCTCCTTTCATCTTGCAAACCAATTTTTCTTGTAGCCTTTTTACTTCAGATTCCTTTTCTTCTAGTTGTTCTTTTAAAGATGCCAGTTCATCCTACAAGTTACAAATTCATTTAAAAATAGTAGATCATGACTAAAAAAGAACATTCAGAGAGCACATTAGCTCTTTAAATCAATAATCAGATTTTATGAATGAAAGAAATCTATAAGAATTTAGATGCAAGCATCAGAAATCAGACAAGGGCAATGAAAAGCAAAAAGCAAGACTATTAGCAGAAGTTCTGTTTATAATAGTTATGGTAAATTATTACAAGTTTCTTTATAATCAAATGAAAAAGAGATCTTTTAAAGTGTAATTAGGGATGGGATAGCCCTAAGGTTTAAATCTTTACATTAAATTAAAAATATAACCAAGTTAATCAAGGAAGATAATCAAATTAGATACTTAGTGTCATAAAAGCAAAATAAAATGCAAATTGGAAAAGACTAGCTTGACATTTATTCGGCATTTCAAGTTGGCACTCATGCCTCCTTGACAAGCACAGAGTTTCATTAATGGGTAAAGTAGCAAGTCATCAACAACTTTAGCCAAATCATGAAACTAAATAATTCACCCTCATCGCTAAGATGAAAGGACAGAATCTCCTACAACAATGGGAAAAACTAAATTAGAAAACAGATATTTAAGCCCTCTTTTAATTTTTAAGTATACAACTGTATAAGATTTCAAGTCCATCCTTCTATGTACTAATGTTTAAATTTTCAGTTTCCTTTCAGTAAAGAGAAGCTTTAGGAAGCAAATTTTGCTGGCTGTATTTAACACAGAAAATACAGCTATGCAATGCTAAGACGTACAGCTTTATATTCAATATCACATTTTACTTTCAGAATCTGTAATGATATATTTATTACATTTAGTACTATGAGAAGATGTAGTTCTCCAATGAGGTGAGGCAGTTGGCCCTATAGTTTTGACTTCTGGTAGAAGCACAGTGGACAAGTACAAAAAATTTTCAGTAGCACTGGCAGGAAGTGTGAACCTGTTCTCACCGTGCTGCTTCTCAGCAGTCATTTCTATTCGTAGCCATGATAATGTCAACTGCTGTACATTTACCATCAAGAAAGTCCCTAAAGAGGAAAGTGACCTCTACTGTGGATACGAAACAGAATTCTTTCACAGGTGAATGTTTACAATTATTTTACTAGGCTTGGGTCTCAGTCTAAGAGAGTTTAATTTATAAATTCTTTCATTTTACCTGTTTATTATATTTCACTAATTAGTTCATGTATTTCTGAAAACAACATCAGGGATCCCATTTTCCCTTCAATCAGCTTGAGGTGATTTTAATCAACAGGTGACACACACACAATGAATGCACATGCCACTAAAACATCATCACAGCAAAACAACACAAGCCAGAAAGCAACAGGCCATGGACCCCATCACCCAATGTCTACTACACCTTCAGTGACTCCCATTTTTGTTCCATCCGCTGCTTTTCATACTGCATCTGACCCACCTTGATTTTCATGCTAGAAAGTTTGGCCATTAAAGACTGGTAGAGAGACAGAGGAATGAAAGAAAACTACAGATAGAAAAAGACAAACTAAATAACCGAGAAAATAGTACCAGTTTATAAAGGAGGTTAGATACAACTCAGAGAAAGGGCAGGTTATGTTCTGTCGGAAGAGTTAAGCCTTGTTTTTAAATTCAGATCAGTGGTGTTTAAATTCAAGAAGGTTTCCAGCTTGGGGGGAACTTCATTTACTTTTAAAATACCTTCTTTATCATATACTAAGTAGAAAACATATTATTTATATTATTGGGCATAGATGAATAGTGGAGACATTTGTTTGAAAATGTCAACCTGCGAGAAAAACTTACTTTGGTTGATTTAAGCTTTTTTTCATACTGAAGTCTCTCACTGTCCATTTCACTGACTTTTAACCTCAAATCATTGATCTCCTGAATCAGTCCCTGTCCAAGAAGAAACAAGAAAGTGCATTAGGAAAGTGGTAACACAGTTACCTACATCTATAAAATAGCAGCTTGGAAATCTTAAGAAGTCACCAGCTCCTAGGGTTAGTTGTATGAATCAGATGAAACAAATGGAAATAAATGTACCTCCTTAAGAACGAAAGCATCTTTCCATTTAAAACATTCCTTTAAATCCCCAATGCCTCTGCCTTAAAGTGATGGGCTTATGAAAATAAAAGGTGACTATAATTTTGATTAAGAAATGTAGCTTAATATTTATTATTTGTCAGATATTTCTATCTTAAAAATGACTCTATGAATGCTATTTCATAGAGTGCTATTTCTATTCTATTTCATAGAATGCTGTTTCATATTTTAAATATGTCACATTCTTTAGTGAAGCCATTTACCTTTTCAACCTTCTCAATGATACATGGTTATTAAAACAATTTGTAATTTCTTCCTTTGTCCACACGGAAGAAACACGGATTGATCGTCAACCCAATATGGGAGAATGAAATGAAAATTAAATCCTTTAAGCCCATGAATCCTTAAGATTCATGAAACAGCCAGGAAAATGTTTTATTTTTACGAAGTGAATAACAGGAACATGAGAATAGTCAAATCAGTTGTAATTTTGCGGACTATTTTAATTATTGTCATATATAACATCACAAAGTTTCTCCACTATTCTCTAATCTCTGGGTATGTGCATACGTTTTAGCAATAGTGTTGAATTTTTATTAGAAGCTTATCAGGGATTGAGTTTACTGTAAGTTTGATGACAATTCTCAACTGGAAAGTGGATGAGGGCCCTGCAGTTCACCTAATTTTATAATTAGAAAATGAAAGAGAAACCAATCCTAATGTTTACATGACACAACACAGTTTTGCGCCTTTTCTACTGCCATTTTTTATTTTATTTAGTGTCACTTTTTAAAGAACCAATTTGCTCATAAAACTTGTCCAAGTATTCTGATAAATAGTGGTGTATTTTTGTCCAGAGCCCAGAGAGTAGGAAAGGAAATTAGAGTGCTAAGCAATATTAACACCTCCAAAAGAGACACTCAAATACTCTGCATGGGAGTTGACTTATTTTTACTAAAAGTCACAAAGATCCCTACAATGGTTACTATACTTTTGCTTCTCTCTCCCTCTCTTTTTTTTTTTTTTAAGACAGAGTCTTGCTCTGTCACCCAGGCTGGAGTGCAGTGCGGCCATCTTGCTCACTGCAACCTCCGCCTCCAGGGTGGCATCAGCCTCCCGAGTAGATGGGATTATGGGCACCCGCCACCACGCCCAGCTAATTTTTGTATTTTTAGTAGAGACAGGGGTTTCGCCATGTTGACCTGGCTGGTCTTGAACTCCTGATCTCAAGTGATTCACCTTCCTTGGACTTCCTAAGTGTTGGGATTACAGGCGTGAGTCACTGTACCCGGCCAGTTTCTCTTTTTACAAAGACATGCATGTATTCCTGGTTCACAAATTCATAGACTACAGGACAAAATTGTCCACGAATGCCAAAAATTACAAACAGAACAATACTATAAGAAATAAAACTTTGTAAATAGAAATTATTTTAAACTTCCAAGTGTAATGATTCAAGTTCACAAAGGCTAAGAGAAGGGATGCTACAATGAAATACACTTCCCAGTAAACCCACAGGCTTTTAAACTGTGGTCTCTTATAAAATGGGGCAAAATATTACCTATCATAGTTATACAATTACTCCTTAATAACGGCATAATATTTCACTTAGATGATATCTATTTTCTTCTTATGAATTAGGTCAAGAACTGTTTGACATTATTCAGTAACATATTTGTGATTCCTCATCTAACAGGTCAGAATTCAAGTTTAACGAAAAAAATAAGCTTTTCCCAGTTATCTAAACTAATCATCCTTGCATAATATGAGTCCTTAGTGATATTCACCAATATGATCTTTTTAAATATATATTTTCCTACTTTCTCATTGCTAAGAAATAGCATTGAATTCTTATCTGCTATTGTTGTACTTTACCCCTTCCTTTAGAAATAGTGCCAACGTGCAAAGAAGAAACCATTGAAAAAAATGGAATTGTAAACTGGGATAATTTATCTGTTTTAACAAAAACTACTCAACTATATTTCATGGCAATACTTTAAATATGGTCTACATTTCCAACCTGAAATCATATCTTCCCCAGACAACACAAGCTGGAAAATCTAGAAATGGCTCCCTAATGTAAAACTTTAAAAAACAGAATACAAATTATTTCAATCAAGTTCTTATCAGAAGTTCAGTCCTTTTAAGAAACAAAATCTCTGTTCCCTTTCCCTTTTCCCTTTCAGAGAACTCCTCAGGGCTCCCGCAGGAACTCAGTCTCTGACATGTATGCTCTTACCACAAGGGGGCACTGTCGAAAGATGCTAATCATTTCCCATTAGCAAGTCCAGGGACAAGTTCTGAATCTTCCAAAGTTTAAAGACTTTTACCCTCAGTCCTTTGGAAATGCCTATACTTCTTCCCCATGCGAATATTTTCTTGGAAATTAATATCCAAATAATCTAAAATTCTAAGAGAAAGTTAAATATTATAGATGCATAGAATAGCCAGGAAAATATTTTTATTAAGGGAACGATAGAATATTCAAGTTAGTTTAATAGTGAAGATTATTTTAATTATTTTCATATGTAACATCACAAAATTTACCACATATGCTCTAATCTCCGGGTATGTGCATACGTTTTAGAAATAACGCTGAATTTTTATTAGAAGATTATCAGGGATTGAGTGTACTGGAAGTTTGATGACAAGATCTCTTTGTATATGATTAAGAGTGCATGAGTGAAACAATGAAAAAGTGGGGAAAAAAAGTTTGATAAAAAAAAGCAGCCAAACTCAAGGGATATAAATATTGCCCTGGCCTCTTACAAAAATAAATGACACATCTACTACAATTCAGTCCCAACACTTGGTTAACATCTCATATCCAAATTAAGCTAACAGCAGATGAAGATTTCCCCTTGACTTTGCAGATACAATGTAGAAGACTACCTCGATCCACATCTACCACCAATTCTTCCCTGCAGCAGAGCTAGCTCCACTGCCATGTTGTCCATCTGTTGACTTGAGTTTTACTATTACCTTACTTAGCGACTATGGGGTTAGGACCTGACAAAAAGAGGAGAAAGAGGAAAATATCAGAACAGATTTTTAGAGAAAGCACAAAAGCAAGAATTTTAAATTGGGTGACTTTCTACATCTTGTTTTAAAAGCCCCAGTTTTGATCAAATGAGAAACATGCTCATATAGGCGACTGACAAAGAGATTTAAGATTAAAACATGGCTGGGCATGGTGACTCATGACTCTAATCCCAGTGCTTTGGGAGGCCAAAATGGGAGAATTGCTTGAGGCCAGGAGTTCCAGACTAGCCTGGGCAACACAGTAAGATCCTATTTCTAAAAAAAAGAAAAAGAAAAAGAAAAATTAAAACATGAACCAAATGAAAGATTTCCTTTTGCTATCGAGGAAGCAAGACATATATCAAGACTTTCCAGTATAATTGAATCTTTGACAGAAAATTTACTTTTGAAACTAGCAGTGGAGTAAAATGCATTTCCAAATCTATAAAGAACTTTCCTCTAGTGGATAATGTATGTAATGCCTGGTACCATGCTGGCTTATAGTCAGGATGAAATACATGTTTGAAATAAAAACAGAAGGGAAAAATAAGTAAGCCATTCTTTCCTCTCTCCTTGGTACCTATTTTCTAATCCAGTATGACACCTTTCCATACTCCAACTAAGGAAACAAAATAGGAAGAAAAAAGGAGGGGAGATGGCCCTCAGAGAAAAGGAATTTCTGCAACTCTTTACACTTCGTTTCAAATGAATATATTTCAAATGGATATGCTCTCTCTCTCCACCAAAAAACCAACAAAGAGGTTAAGAACTTGCCAAATGTCACACAGCAAATAAACTAGAAGGCCTGAATTAATAAAATAGAACAAACAATAAAGCTTGTTAAGCCACTAAAATGGATACTTCAAGTAATAGAATGTACCCTGAGTTTTGTAGAAGTACAGTGAGTCTTATTTAATTGGAATGATTTACATGTGAAATAGATCAAAAGTAGAAGGCCGAATTAAAAGACCTCAAAAAAGCTCTGTTATTTTGTGAGTATAGAATGTTAGCATGTTTTCTCTACAGATTTTCAAAATCCAATTACATAGTAAATAATCAGTGTGCCTAAATAACAACTACTAGTGAAACCATGCATTTAAGCCCATTATTCACAAAATGAAGAAAACCAGCATGGATGGACGGATGCTCCAAATATTCTAAAGTCAAAAGTATTTCTAAAGGTTAATAAAAGGATTAATATTTCATATCAAAAGGCTAAAAATAAAAATTGCCATTAGCATTTAGTGATAAAAAGTCAATGCAATGAAAGATTATTCTTAAAATGAAGCAGGATGAGGGCACGTAGTAATGCCTTGCACACCTCCAGGGAATTTCAACTTGCCCTAGGAATGTACGTGTATGAGAGACAGAGGCAGAGTGACAGAGAGAGAGAGAGACGAGAGACTGTATCACTCACCTCTGTGTCTCTGAACTTATCTTCATAATCCAATCTGTCCTTCTCTACAGCCGTCAGTTTCAACTTCAAGTTAGATATTTCAGCCATCAGATCCAACTTCTGAGTTTCTAAGGATGTCCTACTTAGAAGCTCCTATTGGAATTTAAGAGATACATTCAATAATTCTTTTATTATAAACAGCCACATGTGAATTTACCTCATTTATGATCACAAAGCAGCACCTATTAAGTGGAGGATATGGTAAAATATAATTACTGAATATACACACTTTTAAAAAATTATTCACTTGAGGCTGGGCGTGGTGGCTCACGCCTGTAATCCCAGCATTTTGGGAGGCCGAGGCGGGCAGATCGCTTGAGGTCAGGAGTTTGAGATGAGCCTGGACAGTATGGTGAAACCCTGTTTCTACTAAAAATATAAAAATTTGCTGGGCATAGTGACGGGTGCCTGTAATCCCAGCTACTCAAGAGGCTGAGGCAGGAGAATTACTTGAACCCAGGAGGCGGAGGTTACAGTGAGCCGAGATCTCGCCATTGCACTCCAGCCTGGGCAACAAGATTCCGTCTCAAAAATAAAACAAAATAAAATAAAATAAAAAACCATCCACTTTAGTTACCCTCCTTTGAGCAGAAATAAGCACATGTCAGTTTACTGAGGGAGACATATGTTATGTAGATACACATGCATAAACCACATATACACTTCAGTGTGATGATAACATTGATTATGGTGATACTATGTTTGCTATATGCCAGACACCAGTTATAACAAATACTGTTTCAATTCTCATAAAAAATTTATCAGGTAAAAATTCTTATTATCCTTAATCAAAAGATGAGGAAACATAGTACAGAGAGGTTAGGAACTTCCCTAATGTCATAGTGGGAAAAAGAAAAAATAAAGACACAGCAGGAATGGAAACCTAGGAGGTTTTGCTCAAGTGCATACTCCATCCACGACCTTACAGAGATATTTTCTTTTCTAATTTTGTGGGTACATAGTAGGTATATACATTCATGGGGTACATGTTTTGATTCGGGCTTGCAATGTGTAATAATCACATCATGGAAGATGGGGTCTCCATCTTCTCAAGCATTTATCCTTTGTGTTACAAACGATCCAGTTATATTCTTAATTTCAAACATATAATTAAATTATTATTGACTATAGTAACCCTGACGTGCTACTAAATACTAGGCCTTATTCATGGAAACTATTATTTTGTACCCCTTCACCATCCTCCACCTCTCCCTTCATCCCCCACTACCCTACCCAGCTTCTGGTAACCATCCCTCTACTCTCTATCTCCATGGGTTCAATTGTTTTATTTTTAGATCCCACAAATAAGTGAGAACATGAGATGTTTGTCTTTCTGTGCTTGGCTTATTTTACACATAATGACCTCCAGTTCCATTCATGTTGTTGCAAATGACTGAATCTCATTCTTTTTTACGGCTGAATTGTACTCCATTGTGTATAAGTACCATATTTTCTTTATCCAGCCATGTGTTGATGGATATTTAGGTTGCTTCCAAATCTTGGCGGCTGTGAACACAGTTGCAGTGAACACAAGAGCGCAGATATTTCTTCGATACACTGATTTCCTTTCCTTTGGGTATATATCCAGCAGTGGCATTGCTGGATCATATGGTAGCTCTATTTTTAGTTTTGGTTTTTTTTTTTGAGACGGAGTCTCACTCTGTCGCCCAGGCTGGAGTGCAGTGGTGCAATCTCGACTCACTACAAGCTCCGCCTCCCAGGTTCACGCCATTCTCCTGCCTCAGCCTCCCGAGTAGCTGGGACTACGGGCATCCACCACCACGCCTGGCTAATTTTTTGTATTTTTAGTAGAGACGGGGTTTCACTGTGTTAGCCAGGATGGTCTCAATCTCCTGACCTCGTGATCCAACCGCCTCGGCCTCCCAAAGTGCTGGGATTACAGGCATGAGCCACCGCACCCAGCCTCTATTTTTAGTTTTTTGAGGAACCTCCGAAGTGTTCTCCATAGCAGTTGTACGAATTTACATTCCCACCAACAGTGTACAAGGGTTCTCTTTTCTTCACATCTTTGTCAGCATTTGTTATTGCCTGTTTTTTGGATAAAAGCCATTTTAGCTGGGGTAAGATAGTATCTTCTTGTAGTTTTGATTTGCGTTTCTCTGATGATCAATGACATTGAGCACCTTTTCATATGTCTGTTTGCCATTTGTATGTCTTCTTTTGAGAAATGTCTATTCAAATATTTTGCCCATTTTTAAATTGGATTATTAGATTTTTTACTATTATATTTTTTCTTAATTATAAAACATATACTTATGGGTGAGAGGAAACCATCTGAATGCAAAAAAAGAAAATTAAAATAAGCCACAATACTATTGACATTTTGTTCCAGATTCTAATTACATAAACACTTTCTATTGTGTGCATGTGTTTTGAGACTCTGCTACTCTGGTTTTTTTTAAATGTGCTGGTCTAAGTGAATCAAGAAACTTACTGCTGCATAGAGCAAACACAGCACAGAAACGCAGCATCTGAAATAATTCAGCAGGGAAATCCCATCTTGGTTCTGGCCTCTGCACATACCTGCTGTAGCATTTCTTCTGTGGCATTCAACTTCTCTCTGTGCTCTTCAAGACAAAACTCCAAATCTCGAATCTTCTCTCCCTGAGCCTCCACCTGGTCTGTTAACACACTTACCTGTATTTAGAGCAAAATCATACAATGAGTGAAAAAGAACTTGGGTTCCACTGAATACATTATTTCTCTAAATGGAACAACAAAAGGAATGATCCTACCACTCATATGGTTTTAAAGAAAAAAAATATGCGAAGTACCAAGAAGACAGTGGTCCCTCGCATTCCTATTTATATGTTGCTATTTGATTTAAGGAGGCCTATACAATTTGGAGAAAATTTGTGTAGATTAGGAATGTACAATACTTTTTGGTTAAAGCTACTTCAACCATTTATGAGAGCGAGCGTGCACAGAAGTTATCTTTTTGGGGGACAGGGTGGAGATAGTATTAGAAGAGAGGAAACAAAGTTAATGTTTGAAATAGAAATTATCAAGAAATTATTAACATTTGATACTTCAAGAAGAATAAGAAAAAGACCCCGGGGAGTAGGCGGGGAGCATGCACAGTGGCTCACGCCTGTAATCCCAGCACTTCGGGAGGCCGAGGTGGGCAGATCACTTGAAGTCAGGAGTTTAAGACCAGTCTGGCCAACATGGCGAAACTCTGTCTCTACTAAAAATACAAAATTAGCTGGCCATGGGGGCATGTGCCTGTCATCCCAGTTACTCAGGAGGCTGAGGCAGAAGAATTGCCTGAACTCAGGAGGTAGAGGTTGCAGTGAGCCAAGATTGCACTGCACTCCCACCTGGGCAACAGAGTGAGACTCCATCTTAAAACAAACAAACAAACAAAAAACAAACACACACACACACACACACACACAACCCAGGGAATTCAAATTCCATGAGCTCTTTGAAGATGACACTGATCACAGATGTGTTCAAAGCCAGGGGGCAGCTCAATATACTCAAAGGTCCATGAGGAGCTGTTGGGCTAGTCCTTCAACTCTAATGCTTAGAGCCGATCTCCGAGATTTTCCTCAATAATCATCACCCAGTAAATATACTTCAATTCATTTTGTTCAATATACCAAAGAAAAACATACTTCAGTTCATTTTGCTCAATATACCAAAGAAAAATGTTTGTCAAGCATTTAAAACATTATGAAGAAGCAAACTCAAATTTAGCCCACAGGGAGGATTCTACTCACTGTTTTGTCTCACCCAGGGTATCATTTTTAAAATTGAAAAATTAAACATATATACTCAGGTTTCAGATTCAGAAATATAAACTTACATATATTCAGATTTTATGCTATATTCATATATCTGAATTTTAGAACAGATCAGACAACATTGTGCCTGTATTCAGACTGGCCCTGGAAGAGCTGAGGATGATTAATGGCGGCTCCTTTTAAACTGGTCGTAAACACCATCATTCTGCCCCAATCCTCACCACTCCCTATTGTGTACAGGTGGTTTACCAGGCTTATTTCTGTTAGCAGTCTGGTTGCTGCAAGCAATCTGAATTTGCCACCCCAATTTAAAAGTCTTTGTAAGTAGGCTGCAAGGAAAGAACAGTATTTAAAAATCACTTGCCTGAAGAACGAGGGATTCTTTATCATTTTCTAAACGTGCCAACCTTTCTTGATACACATCTCCATTCCCAGGTAGGTGTCCATTTGTCTGAAAAATGAAATAATATGGGTAAGGCTGATCTTCTCTAAGAATGATATATTGAGGATAAATGAAAATCACAGTGTTCACAAGTCCAAGGGGCCTGAATTGAATCTGGCACAGCTGTCACTGTCAAACAGAAAACATGAGAATGCAATTTGGTTCATTTACCACAAAAGAGGTAAGACAGGCATGTTAAGTGTATAAGCATGTTTTTGCCAAAGTAAACAATTTCTTATCAAACAGAAAATAATGACCCACAAGGCACAGTGGATACTGGTATCTCCACTGAGAGCAGACACACACCCAGGGGCAGGCAAAGCTTTGTCAGTGTGTAGGGGGCACCCCTAGCTGTTGAGGTCTGTCTCTTTTCCTCCAAAAGCATAAACACTCAGGCCACAGTGACTTCCCCTGGTAGTGCCGACTAGCCTCACTTATCTGCATTTTAACACTTTCTGTCCTGATCTTACTAACTTGTGAGTTTGCTTCTTTGTATAATGTTACCTTCTATTCCAGGGCAGAGCCTATAATTCATTTTGTAACCTCCCCAGCATCTGGCTCAGTGCTCTGCATATACTGATGCTTACTTACTATTTCTTCACCTCCTTCCTGCCCCCGGACACTTTTTAAAAAACATCATGTTTCAGTATATTTAAGCGTTGTATAAATGCCAAAGGAAGTATAGACTGAGAAACGATGTATAGATTGTTTCTTCCTCAACTGTCTCATATGCAAGTCATGAAAGAGACACATGAAGAGGCTCACAAAGAACAGAAAACCTAAAAACATCATTTCGAAATGTACGTAGTAGCATAAGTGGTGTCTCTTGTAATCTCAACATAACCATAAGATAATGTAATCCCAATAGAATTTCCTGATTCTTCATTCAAATCCAATAGAAATAAAAGTCAGCTGAAATCCGAAAGTGTTAGATGGGGCCACCCAGGGTTCAACTGAAAAAGAAAATAATATCTTCAGATTTAGAACCAGAAAAAATACAAACTGTATAACCTTACTCCCCAGGACACATCTGATGTGACATCTACTGTTTTTCCAGAATTAACTGATACCATTGTTCTATCTTTCCAATAAATGTGGTTTCCAGTATCAATTCTTGGAATAACAAAAGTCATGTGCTGGGAAGGGGGGAAAAAAAAAACAGGGCTTGAATGAAAAGGAAGACTTCAGAATGCTTTTTCTAAAAACTTTACATACTGAATACATTTTCCAAAAGGCCACAAAGAATCGGAGGCTAACTGAGTAAGGGTGCAATGCATATTTAGAGTGGATTAAAATTTTACAATCAGCTGCTTTGCCACACACCTCCACAATTACCACAGCATAATTCTGCTCATGTTGTTAACTGAAGTGCCTGGCATTAAATTACAAGTATTATGAAGAGTGTGATGGAGTGGCCTGGACAACTTCTATTCCCCGGGGACTAACATAAAAATAAATTGTGCATAACTTCTCGAGGGCAGTTTTTGGAAAAGGGCCAGGATGTATAATCCATGTTCTCAATCTTAAGAAAGTGCCAAGACAGGCCCTGTAGAGGTTTAAATTCCTTATTTTGATTATAGAAATTAACAGGCATCTGTTTTTAAAATCCCATACAAGTAACAATATTTCAGAAACAGATACATTTCAGTAAGTAGAAAAAAATCTGCTGTTTAGTGAGGACAAAAAGTAAAACTGGCCAAGGGTGGTGGTACATATCTGTAGTTCCAGCACTTTGGGAGGCTGAGAATTGTGTGAGCCCAGAAGTTTGAGGCCAGCCTAGGCAACATGGCAAGACCCTATCTCTTAAAAAACAAAAACAAAAACAAAATAAACCAAAAAGTACTTAGCCAAGCTTAGTGGTGTGCACCTGTGGTCCTAGTTACTCTGGAGACTAAGGAAGGAGGATCACTTGAGCCCGGGAGGTGGAGGCTACAGTGAGCCATGTTTGCACCACTGCACTCCAGGCTGGGCAACAAAGTAAGACCATGTCTTAAGAAAAACAAAACAAAACTGATCTTTCTTCTGGTTGGAGGAAATTATAGCAAGAGGAGAGCAGTGTTTCCTTCCAAGCTACTTTGTATGATATGGAAGTGAGGTGTTCCAAAACCAGTTCTCCAAAATGAGCCCCAAATAGAAACAGATACCGAAAATTGATTCAAAATGAGCATATTTATGTTTCTCAATATGGTATTGATACTTATAAGCACTCAATGCTCAAGGGTAGTTTAGTATATTAAAACTCACTATAGGAACATAAAGCAGAATTTAAGAACGATAAATGTTACATCCTTGTGTTAACTTAAGTAGGTAAAGACTGTTCTGTCCACATGTATTTATATATCTGCCAATTCTGTTTCTTTGCATTAAGAATGTTGGCAGTAAGATCCATTAGGTACATACCGTATTGTCTCCATTCTTCCTCCAACTCCCATGTTCTACCAAACAGGTCACTCAAAACCTCCCCATATATGGCATGCTCTCTCACACACTTTTACTCCTTCTGCACGGACCGTCTTTTCCCACCCTTTCTTCTTCTTTCCCTATTCCTTAAGGTCCACCTCTATTAGGGCTTGGTCTGTGAAGTCTTCCTTGAATTCACTGTTTACTATGTGCCAGCAACAGTATCTAGATGAACCTTCATTACAGCAGGCGTTACTCCGAATGCACTAAGGTTAGACTTGACGGCATACATGTCTCTCTCTCCTAATAGACTCTGCATTCTTTGCAAGTAGATTTGCCTTGGCATGGGACACACAGTGGGTGATAACTAAATGTCTGTTGAATGGAAGAATGACGACAGGTGTTCAATAAACAAAGTTGAAGAAAAGATGACTACAGGTTTCGTTTTGATCTGGCCTTCTTGCTTCTCAGTGGGTCTTTATTTATGTGTCCTCTATAATCTGGTATGCACTCCATGGTTGACCTCTATCTAGACTGGCTCCTTTCTCCCCAAGCCTGTACTCTCTCTTCCCACTATGTTTAGAAGGTGATCTCAGAGCCTTTGTAATGGACAATAGTTAAGGCCATCTTGTGTGAGCTCCCCTAGACACTTTCTTCCTCAGTGTGTAATAGTATAATATATATTACCTCTTATTTCGTTCCTTTCTTTCTTCCTGCAGGCTTGGGAGAACTGATTCTTAACTCCTTCCTGAAAGCTCATCATTCCACTTCTAGTTTGGAACCTTGATTTCCTGTTTCACTGGGACCTGTAATCACCACTTCTACTCATCATTTTCCATTTCTTCCTTTTAATGAGCTTTCTTCCATTTTCCTTTACAACAACTATCCCAAGGTTTTGTACCCAACACTCTACTCACCTCCCACTCCTCCCTCTCAGGTCAATCCATCTTTCATAACCCATTTCTACCTCCTCCTCATTACATTGTGCCATTCTCCTTTCCCCATCTACTGGCTGACCTTCTGGGTCTTGTCTTAAACTGTGCTCTTTAGTGTTTCATCCTATTCTGCCTCAGGTGGTGACTAATAATTTTATGTGAGTTGGTCTCTCAGCCTAAGTTTCTCAGAGCAAAACTGTCTTACATTTCTTTTGATTCTTCCACGGTGCTTATAAAATCCTGAGCACCTAATTTAAAATGTATTTAAGTATAAACTCCTGTTGAGTCAATCTGACTTTCAAAGCACGGAAGAGCAGCCTAAATCACTTTACCTTTCTACTTTAGGTCATGGTGCAACCTTTTACTGACCACATCCAATTCAGCTAAGTCAAAACTGGAATCAACGTGGGGATTTCAACAGTACAATATCCAACCAATAGTGTGTGTGGAGAGTCAGGGAGGGAGATCTAACTCAACTGTAACAATGGTACTTTGATTTAATTAAGGAACTTATGGCTTCTGCCAGGTTTTCCTGGCACGATGGGGAGAAGCACATCTGAAAAGCTTTATCCCTCATAGAATTACAGAATCTTAGAGCTAGCCAGGAACCTTACCTGGAAAACGAATTCCCTGACTCTACATGGCAGGTGGTACACATAACATTAGAACACCATCTACTTTTCCCTTCACCATCTAAGTGGAAAGCCTTCTTTTATTTATTTATTTATATTTATTTACTTACTTATTATTTACTTTTGCAGTTGCAAGATTTAATAGAGTGAAAACAGAGCTCCCTTACAACAGGAGGGGACCCAAAGGGGGTTGCCACTGCTGGTTCAAATGCCTGGGTTTATATCCTGATTATTGTCCCTCCCCCTGTGCTCTCAGGTGATAGATGATTTGATTATTTCTTTACCTCCTGCTTTTAGCCTAATTGGTATTTTCCTGAGCTCTCTTTACTACCTGATTGGTTGGGTGTGGGCTGAGTTACAGGCCCCGTATTTAAAGGTGGGTGCGGTCACCCTCTCCAGCTAGAAAGCCTTCTTTTTATATCAACTTCCTTTTAATTATCAAGTATTACAATCAAGCATAAAGACATAATAAATGTTAACATCTTTCTTTTCCATCTGTTTAAAACATTTTTTTATTACAGAAAATTTCAAACAGATTTAAAGTTGAGAAATGAGCGTGATGAAACCCCATGTACTCGCCACTCCATTTCAATAGTTATTAATTCACGGAAGGTAGGAGTTTCAACCGCTGTTTTTACTTGTAACATCATGCTGTGTTTTCCTTTGATTATCTGGGTTCTATTGGTTTGCATTGGTTTACAGTTGTCTTCTTCCCTGTTTCCCCTTTGTTTCACTTTGTTCTTTCCTGAGCTCTGCTGTCCTGTCTAAATCCAAAATCAACATACAAGCAGTGATTTGCCACTATTATGCTTATTTATTTTACAAAACAGAAACCAATTTTGAGTGTAACAGTCCTAAATCAGAATGGTGAGTACCTAAATTAAAATGGGGAAAAGAAAACAGCCCCCTTTTTAAGGTCAACAGATGTTAAAGCACAGCTGGATTAGTAATACTACATACTCACAAATGCATGCACAGACCACATTCCATCCAGTCATTATACTTATTTTTAAAACTAGTTATTAAAGCTATCATGGAGTCT